AGCCTGCGCAACAGGCAATGCAACTTCCAGCAATGCCCGGGACGCGTTGGAGGGAAAGAAGATTTCTGGGAACAATGCAAGACTGCTGGCCAGAAGCTGTTGGGAAGCAGGCATTATGTAAAGACTCGAGCATACATGCCATCACCATGCATCTAAGGTCGGTCATGGGCATCTTACCTGCATCAGCGCCGAAGCTCCCAGGCCTTGTCAGCTCTGCTTGTCTGGGGGCTACAGGTACTACGAGGGTCGACATCATGTTCGACTGAGACGATGATACGCATGAACTTTGTACATTTGAAACAGGGTGTGGGTAAAAGGTTGATAAAGTTTAGGGCGTTTAGGGCTTGCCGTCCAGCGGCGAAACTTCGAACTTGTGTGACAGGTATCGTGCCGGAGCGACTAGCCTTTTATTGAAGGCCTGAAACTGACTTCCCAAGCACGAGGCAGCTTTACCACCCCGATCATGATCACTCCAGAACAGACCCAACGTGGTAGAGAGGGGGAGTGGTCCTTCGAGTTTTGGGGACTCCTGACTACTGCCTGCGCTGCCCGCCTGTGAGCGCAGCCCCATATACATATAGAATATGCATATATATATATATATATATATATATATAATTTGTATAGTTTTTAGTTTTTTTGTGCTTGTCTTGCAAGCATACGTACATACACATGGATGTTCACGGGTTTGGTGCACCCTCGAGAGCCCGGCTTGGCTTGTCCTCCGCTCGGGAATTGCGAGGCCTTCGAAGAACAGATTCACCGAGGTCTACCACTCGGAACGGTTCGAAATTGCGGGAAGCCTTCGTTCTCCAAAACGGACTCATCTCACATCAAGAAGCGTCCATCTTAGGCAGGAACGCATCACGATCTGCTTGGCCTTTTTTCGAGCCTGTAAGACATGCAACAATCCCATCCCAGCAAGGACTGCACCAGCTAGGAAGAGAAGCGCTATTAGTCCATCTGGCGATGGGAAAAGTGCCTTTATCTCTCCTTGTGGGCAGAGATGGCAGTGTCCGCAGTCCCAGCCATTCTTGCAGCCTGCTTCCTTCCAGTACCTCAGCCCCAAGAAAGAAAATCAAGCACAGAGCAACATCTTCCCAAACTTTGTGAAGGTGAATTGCCAGGAAGCGGGCCAAGCACAGGGCTTGCATCGCTGCAGCGCGTGGAGTACTGAACCCTGACTTGGCCTCACACACACATCCGATCAAGGGCAGAAACTCAGATGATGGTACTAAGATGTAAATGGGTCTTTAAGTGGGGTACTACACTGCGACATACTACCACACAGCACCAGGAACCCTGCAGCTCTGACAGGCCAGGAATCCAGCTTGCACCTCGGACGGCTGAAAAGCGCATGGCCGGCATGGAAGGCAAGGGGGGCACAAAGGCCGATGCCCTCATCGCTCAGCCAGGGGGCTTTGCCGCCATGCACCTGTGGATGTCAAGGTGTCAGGCAAATATCGATCGCGGACACGGCTGCGCTTAGCACCTCTGGAAAAACTCGGACATCTGCGTCTTCCTGCAGCAGGCACATTCGCACAGGCCGAGGCCCGCTTCGCACATGTGCAGCTGTGGAAAGGTTACAAAAACTTGCATCGAGCTAGTAAGACTGTTCTGCCAGAGTTGAAGGAAGTCCTTCACGATTTCGACGTGTGTGGCCGCCTCCGGTTGGAATGGTACGAGGAAACCACCTCCAGGGCACTGGCAAGAAAGACAGCAGGAACAGGCAGAGTTGTGTGATCGGAAAAGTCACCCACCTGCAATGCCCTCCACGCTAACCTGCATCTTTGACTTCAGAGCTTCGCGAGTTGCCACTTCTTTTTAAAGCGTTGCTGGCATCAGCCTTTGTAACCTCACATCCCAGCTGAGAGTCTTCGAAGCAGCCTCGCAGATTTCTGTGCTAGCGGCTGCAGCCATCGACCACACTTCGGCTGGCCTGGGGTGTGCTCGTCGGGCTCGCTGGGAAAGCCCTGCCCAAGCATCCCGTTGCAACCACAGGCCGAACCGACATCTTGTTTTGGCGGCCTCTTTCTCCAGCGAGGATTCGTCAAGACAAAATGGGAAAGTCACATCTTGATCACCTTGCAAAGATGAGCCGCGTCTGCTGCGTGCTCCATGGACACGAACTGCTCACAGCAGCTCACAACATGTTGAGGCTGCAGTGTGTCTGCATTCACTGAATATGCCTGACCTCAACCCATGTGTCAGGCGTGCCTGTCGCATAAAATTGGTATCCTGAATCCACAGTGTATGAGGCCTCAAAGTCAGCTCGTCAGCTCAAAAAAGCGGGGGTCTGCACTACTTGCACTTCTGCCTGGCACACAGCACCTTTGGCTTTGGCATCCACCTTCTTTTGCTGCGAATGAGGCATATGTCGAGGCCTCTGTCAAAGGATGCAAAGATCCAGCCTCTGCTTCTGGGTTCATCTCCGGGTCCACACACAGCCGAGAGCCTGGCGTTGGAAGCGATTCCGATGCATCGAGCGATTGCTGAAAGAGCGCTGAAGCATCAACGAAGGCAAGTCCCGAGCCGCCAATGATCCCGTATATATTGCGTGTCCGTGGTTCCTGCACAGTGCGGGAAGAAACGCTTGCAGGCATCCCCGCACAGGAGACTCGGAAGATTGAGGGGATGGCACATAGGGCCCCTTATTCTGAGTCCTGAGAGTCGATGGTCTCGGTTGGTGCACCGCCCACGGGCTGATGAGCGCCTGCGCAGCTTCAAGATGGCTCACCCATGAGGATCCATGAGGAGCCATGAGGAGCCATCAGGAAGAGCACGGGGTCAATCCATGTAGGGAGCGAGGGTGAAGCTGGATCTGGAAATGTATGGGTATCGCCGCCCGAGGAGCTTTGTATGAAAGGGCACATCTTCACAGCTGCTCTGAACGGTGAAAGGCACATCACGCAACACCTTTCTAAACCACATCCACCGCGAGGCAAAGCACGTGATTCAATATGATTCCCACACAGCAAGTGTAGTCTTAGTGGCCTATCCTGGCTTGATCCCCTCATCTCCTTTGTGATGCCAACTTGCATCCGTCCCGAGGGCAACTACCGTTCAACTACCCAGTAACAAGAACCTGCCTGGTGGCACAGGGCATCGGGAAGCCTTTCAAGGGTCCACAGGCCATGAGGCAGACAGTGCAGTCTTGGCTTGATCATCACAAACTGAGTCGCAAGTTCTTGCACACCCTGACTGCCCCAACTGAGGATGCTGCCGTTGCCGTGTCCGAATCATCATACAACTTGGAAGACTCCTTCAATCCGAAGGGCTCAAACATGCCCGCAACCGACCGTTGCCCGCAAATCAGCCTGCTCTGCTATCCAAAGACCATCGCCACCCCCCAGCCTTTTCCCCCAAGGCCTGCGCTCTAGGCTCTCATGAAACATCTTCACCAACAAAGACAGCAATGGATACCCAATTTCAATCTAGCTAGTTCAGGTTTAAGGATTTTCTATCTGCTTTCAAATATTTGTTCGTCAACCTTCCCCGCAATTCAAAGCAGCATTGGAAACACAAAGAAAATTGTTGAACTGTGTGTGTGTGAACCCCCGCTACTACTATCTAATATACGCTCCCTTCCTCCTCCTTCTGAAGACAGCTATTCTCTGAAGGGCTTTCAACATCATATCGAGGCAACGTCGGGCGTCAGCGAGGTGCCCCTACGACACTTCGACCAAAGGAGACAGCAACAAAATTCAACCTGCTCACCGAGTCCTGACACATCACCGGCCCGAGACCTGGGCGCACATCACGCTGTGGTGCTGCGGCATCTGCCAACGCCAACGGCAAGTAAGGCGGAAGCTTTGATGCCAATGCATGGCGACTCTTCGGAGGCAGAAAGCTACTCCGGTCCAAACTCAAACGTTGATGTAACCAAGAACTCAAGTGGTATAATTCCAGTGTGCACGACCTGCCTGTTGAATGTGACACGTCGAGTCTAAGCGCAGATTGACAAAGCAATACAGTACCCAGTACTTAGCCACAGGAGCTCACCAGCCACAGGTGGACTATTGAGCCCAAAGCTTCCTGATCACAATACTTCCGTCTTCAAAGCACTTTGTGTTGGCAAAAACGAAACTCACCCCATGGCGGCCCATGGCGTGCAGAGATCGAGGTTGACACCAGGGTCACCACCACGTGAGGCTCCTCCACACTGCAGTGGTCTTCAAAGCACCGCATCGTCCAAAGGGTTCAGTTCTACGAGACTAGAAGCCCATGTCAAATCGCAGGTCCTTTTGCAAGTCGTGATCAGGAAACAAGCCCTCGAAATTCCGAGCAAGGCGCCTGACGCATGCAGCAGTAGGTTCCTTCGTCGCTTCTTCCCGAATGCAAACTTGCAACCACTTCTTTTCTCTGATCCAGTGGCCAACCGCCAAGGGACAGATGTCAAAGTGCCAAGCAAAGTTGGAACGAAGTCCGGGGCCTTCTGTGCACACCTGCTGCAAATGTATTGCATGCTGAAAAGGAAAAGGACCTCATGTCCTCCATGCATCGCTGTCGCTTGTTGCTACCTCCACAGCTTCTGTGACTGCATACGCCGCTATCTTATCTTGCAGCTTGCATGCGTTGCGTTGCATTGGGCGAGGTAGCAGCATTCGGCAAGCTTTAAAGAAATCAGTTTCGGATAAATTTGGTGAGACGACGGCGGTCACCTCTGGCGGTACGTCTCAGGACCTGGCTGCAGAGGGAGAAGAGGGCTGTCTAAACTGCTCGGCACTACAGACGAGATATGCTGAGACTCAGACTGTCTATTGAACATATTGGACACAACTATTGAATTACGGCCTCGGACAGGATGTCTAGGAAGGGATCGTGCCGACCACACAAACAGCTGTCGGAGTCCTCTCGAGACTTTCGCACGTTGTCATGCCGATAGCTCGGTGACCTCGGATGACAGTGTAGGAAATGGTGCAGGAATGTGTAGGACAGCGCAGGACATCAGCAGGTGAGATGGTCAGTATTGGCCAGCCGATGCCGAGCAAAGAGCTTTGCTAGAAAGGGCGAAGCCGTCTGGCTACCTCCTGTCCCACCATGTGCCTGGCAGAGGTGCATCTGCACATGTAGACATGTGGCATCATGTGGCTGTGGGCAGATATCATTTTTTAAGGGCTGTGGCGCTGCCTTTCTTCTTGCACGCTAGGGGATCCCAAGATTGCAGAGTTCTCCTGCAGATCATGTCTCAGGCGCATCATATCCTGGTCTGTTCACTTGCTGAACTGAACGTAGTCCTGCGTGCGTCGAATTAAATAAGGCACAACTTCATCCACTGGTCCATATGGTACGTATTTGTAGGCCCTGCAAAGGATACTCAGAGGAATGCACAAGCATGACAAGAAAGGTGAACATCTCATGGGAACGTGGCACAGCGTCACCGGGCCTATAACCATAACGTCCCAGCCTCGATCACAGGACACGGAGTCGCAGACTTCGAGACTCTGCAAGCTTCTCGAGCAAATTTTTCAGCTAAACTCGTCAAGAATCGTGAAGGTGAGGTGATCGGCCATGCCAAGCAACTGCCCAAAGCCCACGCGGTCCTCGCTGCGACACAGTCAAAAAGCCAATTGCCGAATCATGTACAAAACCATGTACAAATCCAGGAAACACAGCAAACACCGTGCAAACACCGTGCAAACACCTTCTTTCTCTGCAAGAGGCAAAGGTCTTAGACCACGTTCACTTGTCCAACAGTGGCGCTCACTGCTTCCTTTCCAAATCGACAGTCCCGCAAGCGGGTCAATTTCCAAACCGCTAGTTGGATGAGGAAACTTGCCAGTGTCACCTGAACGATGACAGTTTGCACATGATATGGCTTGCACACTGTGCTGACTCTGCTGCGGGCTAAGGCTGCCACGAAGGCAATAACAATAACGGTCCTGGCAACAAGCGCCACGAGATGCCGCTGATGCAAATCAAATATTGACTTGGTTTCCTCCACGGGTGGTGCCAGTCTAGCACCGCGTAGATGGGGCACTCATCCAAGGAGTATGTCCTGCCGAATGAGAGCCTCATAGACTCATAGAGCTACCTTCCCCAGACTGTGCTAGAATCGCAGGAATAACCTCTAACCCTCATGTCATGCACGCCATAGATGGAGCGACTCCAATCTTGGCAGCATAGTGGATCAAAGTCCACACCGTGTACCTTCAGTGGTTCCCACGAGTGTGTCCCGCGGCCCATGGCTTCAAAGAAACAAGCAACACACAGCCAGCACCTACTGTCGGCGGCCAGGTCACAAAAGCGCATACACATACAGGACGACCCCATGCTTCAGCATGAAGATGTTCTTGTTCACAACGAACTCGACGCAAAAAAGTAGCATGTTCAAGAAGTGTTCGAAAATCATCACCTTGCCAACATGGCTGTCGGAGAACTGATATGATGCTGGTATCTGCAACGTGTGGAAGATTCCTTGGCCTAACATGCCAGCTCAGGCGCAGAGTTTAGGCTTTCGGGACGAAGTCGGGGAGCTGGGGGGTTTTGGGTACGAGGTTTAGGCTCTTTGGCTTAGGCTCGTGTTCTTACGACTGGCAGAGCCTGCCCAATCAGGAAGATGAAGGCGGCCAAAAGACAACTTGGAATAGGATGGATGGATGGATGGCACGCAGGGTACGGCTGCCAAAGGGTGCCTTCCCCTCCGCATCCCTCCGCCGTCTCAGGGACCCCTCCGCAAGCGTCATCGGCAACCCTCCAGCAAGGTTCGAGGTCCTTGACTGGCCACCCCACACAAGCATCCATGAACTCCCCAGTGCCCGCACAGACGCCGAAGCCCACAGGCCGGACGGCAGTGGATCCTCGAACTGTATGCGAGCACAGGGGCCAGTAGTGAGTCCACGCATCCTCCATTCACACCCTGCACTCTATAGGCAAATGCCAGGAACTCACTGCCAATGCCCAGAGTGAGTGCCCATAACAGTATGGGCTGCGAGGACAAGACAACTTGGAATACTGACTGGAGACATGGCGTACCGTTGCTCGCACTCTCAGATTGAACATGCAGGCAAAGCACCTCTAGGTATATTGCGTAAGTACACGAGCAATACAGCTTGATTTACGCAGTCTCACGCAAGTCTGCACTTGCTTCTCAAGGCCAACCGTGGGCTTCTTGAGAAGCCCCCTAGATGACAACGTTGATCGCCTCTGGCGGTGTCACTGCTAGGGAGCCCTCGCGAGCTTCTGTGGGGCGTGACACTTAATCCAGGACGCCCAAGGCGCACTGTGTGCAGAAGTGCACGCCTGCAGCCTCCCTGGCTACTCATGTCTTGTGCACACCTACAGCTCAAAATGTCTGACAAATCTTGGGCAACATGACGAGCGAGACATGTTTCAACCAAGAGTGATGAGGTTGGAGTGACGGTGCCGCGACAGATTTCATGGTCTGAGACAAGCTAAATGGTTACATGAAGCACATGGAAAGCCTATGAGCTCCTGGTCAAGAAGGCAGAGGTTCGCAGGAGCAGACTGCACAGATTCGGCATGCGGACAAGAAGCATAGCCCAGCTGCATCTTCATGTCCCAAATGGGGTTGATGAGAGTCCAGAAGGCAAGGCACACCAAGATGCAAATTGGAAAGGTTAGGTTCCAAAGAAGTGCCATGGCCTGCACCTGAGTCAAGCTCTCGAAACAGGCCAGAACTGGGCCAAACTGCAGCAGGACACAGACCCCTTGAGGTGCGCACAGATCTCGGAAGCTTGTAAAGCTCACGGAAAGAGTTGCTGTCATCGCCGCTCGACGGCCTCTTAGAGGCAGCTCGAGCCTTTACAGTGACATACACAGCTAGCAAAATGTAGAGGGTCTCAAGGAGGAAGCTCCAGCGTGTGAGGTAGATGAGGAACCGCAGTCCTGAGCGTGCAAATGGCATTTGCCAGTCTTTGATTTCTTTGATTTGTGAGGGTCTGACCGTCACGTGTCGTCACCCCGTCAAGCACCAGGGTACCCACAAAGAGGCATGCAACCTGGATACAGGAATGCAAGGTTGCACAGGTGAATTCTGTGAGAGGACAACGTTTTGCCGAGAAGCACAAACGCGTACTGCCAGTAGAGCCCACTCAGGAAGCAGCCACGAGGCACCAAAAACCTCCTCAACGAGTCGAGCAGAGTTCATGCAAGGAATCAGGGACAGGGTGATGCCGATGCAAAGCTGAGAACCCGCTGAGAATGAAGCCGGCCAGCGCCCATTTGCGGAGGAGATTCCGAACAACTTCAACTGGCCGTGGTACTCATGTGGAGTAGGGCTTTCAAAGGCTTTCCCAATGTGCATTTCCGTGCTATGTGGGTGCATTTCGGTGCTTTCCCAGCGCTTTCCCCTTGCTTTCCCAGTGCTTTCCAGCGCTTCAGCCTGAGGTGGCGAATCAGCAGCATTCTGCGGAGATTCCAGGAGCTCCATCTTCGAATCGGCCAACGCAGGACCATGTCAGCGATAAGCACTTGGGCCAGAATCATGCGAGCACAATCGAGCACATCATGAACCCAAGTCCTAGAAGCCCTGAACAGCAGGCCCATGCCATGCGTATGAGTTCTTCGTTTGGAAGCACGACTGACATGTCCTGGCTCACGCCGAGCTCTGCCATCTTGCGGATTGTCCGCTCAATGGAACCGCGGTTGTGAGATGCCACAAGCACCTTCAAGTATCAAAAAGGCTCAAAAAGTGAATCCGATTTCATATGCAGAGCGGTTTCTTGTGGCCTCAGCCGGGGCACCACCCGGGCCCTGCAAGTCAAGCTAGGTTTTTCGACCCGCACCAACCAGCTCATGCCACTTACAACAACGCGCACTGCGGAGGGACCTCGCCAGGGTCTTCCCCGTGCTCCAAAATCAAATCAATAGACTGGTGAAAGTTCTCTTCGGTTTCCTCATAGCTTTCCTGAGTCTAAGATCCACATCGCCCTTCTTCAAGATGAACTTCTGCCACACAAACCCAGGATCAACCATCCTTTTACCTTCTCGCAATCCTGCACACAAGTGAGCTGCAGGCAGGGATCGCATATGGGAGACTCCAATCCGCGCTTGAGTGCCTTCTCGCGTTCTGAGACCATGTACCTGAAATTCCCGAAAGAGACTCCCAGATGCAGCTACGGAAACGTTCCCAACAGAAAGACACCTGAAACAGACCTACATTCCTCGTCAGGAACTGCGGAATGAATTGGGCAAAGCGACGCCCCTCGCACAAGCTTGGCTCCAAAGCGCCAGCCTTCTCGCCTGGCCAAGAACCCAGTCTAGCTCTCCCACGTTAAGTTCACATTCACCCAGACCTCCTGATTCGTTTTGACACGATCGTCCCTTTTCTTTCAAAGGTGCTACTGCCATGTCTGGCTCCCAAAATCAGGTGACGTTGGCCCTCGCATTTTCATGTCATTTGAAGGGCCTACCAATATTTCAATATCTCAACATCTGGGTTTTCTTGAGCGAGACTCTGGGCCACAGGACAGGTCAATCGGCTTTCCCAAGTCGAAGAACAGAACAGGCGCAGAGAATCCACGGTGCACAGGCGCCTGGATCTGTGCAGATCTCTCTGTACTCTCGTGGGCATGCCCTGACAGAGCTCGGCAAAAGATGGCAAAAGTGCCACTTGCAGGCCATTCCCGAACGATTGCAGATCAAGGACATTGTGCTGCAGGCTCTGCCTTCAGGTACGTCTGGTAGGTGTTGAAAACCTTGACAGGGATAAGAACCCTCCGTATGAAAGTCACATATGCTTGTTGCTAAAGTTCCTGCCCTCTAGTAGGTGCCAGGCAATCGGCAGATCACCAGAATTGTATATCCTGAGTTTCCGGGGTTCTTTTCGGGCTCGAAGACTGGCCGTGTTCGATGCACAGCAGCTGGACTCGAGCCAGAGCGTCCGTTGCATAAAGATGGTGATGTGGTCGATTGCGGGCTGGATATCAGTCCACTCTGCATCGATCCTAGGCTTGAGTTCTTGATGATCCTTCGGCGCGACCACGAAGGAACACAGCTAGTTACTAGTTGCGAACCCAAGCGGCATCACCCGCACACCAAGTTCCTGCCAGGCTAGCTTACGACACATCCACACTATTCAGCAGGATGTCGCCCCGGCTGCCCTACACAAGTGCAAAAAAAGTCATTGAAGAAAAAGTGCGATCTGTAAGAAGGCCCGACGCCCTTCTGGAGACCCCAAAGAAGGACCCAGAGGCAGCCTGAGCCAGGTCGAGGATGCCCTGGATTCGCTGCAGCATGTTGCCTGGGCTCTGGTTGTTTCTGCAAGCTGCAAGCTGGAGCAGCGGCAACTTCGTGGACGGGACGGTATAGCTGCAGCTCCTCCTCATTGAGCGCCGATTGGTACATCCGTCCTGAGAGCGGGAACTGGAAGCTTGCACGACTATGCCACATGCACCAAGCAAGCCTCGGTGCTTGCACCCTCTGACAAGCTCATTGATCTCGGAGAGCTTGACACTCGATGACCATTCCAAGTAACTGATCTGCCTGCGCGTGTCAAGGCCCAGATGAGCTACATCCCCTTCGCCGACCTTGGTCCTTAGCCCATGGCCCGTCTCCGTCGGCGTCCATCGCCTGGAACATGGATTTGAGCTCGGCCTGGCAGAGGTCTGAATTCTGCTAGAAATTGTATGCTTTATGCTTCTAGCTTCCCCAAGCTCAGGCATGGCTCCTCGGTCTTGCCCTCGAACATCTTGAACCAGCCCGTCTTGAAGGTCTCAAAGTCCATCTTGAAAGACCGGTCAATGGCCTCGAAGCTTAAGCCATGCATCTCCAGCTAGAAAGAGCAAATGGCATGCAATGGTGACGCAAAAACTGGAAGCTTGAATTGAAACCAGGACTCGTAAAATGGCTCAGTGACCTCATCGTCGTGTGATAGTCTCTTGTACCTTGGAACTCCATCGCTACTGCCCGACTTCCATAGCCAGATCATTGTTCCTACTTCTGCCAAGCCACAATCGACAGATCTCCCCGAGACAGCTGGACATCCGCTCCAGCAACTGCGGATTCCTAGGCAGATGATCTCACGAGGAGGCTTTACCACGGCGCTCACGTGATCCTATGCAAACAAGATTCCCCAAGCCAGACAGCTTTATTGCGGCAAAGCCATCTGGCGTTGCATCTTTGACCGCTCGTACAGCTGTTCGAAAGATCTTTGCGTTGGCATCACACAGGGCCTGGCACCGTAGACGACATGGGCCTTTCACTCAACAATCCGTGGCAGACTCTGGGCTGTTGCCGATTTGTTTTGGGCCCTATAGCAATTTTGGCACGTTTCATGCATGTCCGCGTCTACCACGTCCTCCCTTGGCCTCATTCTTGTAGTCATAGGTGCGGCTGCTCATGGGTGCCCCGACGATCTCCTAAGTCAAGGGCACGCAGGTCACCAGCGTTGTTCTTTGAAGCATCCTGTTGATCTATTCTGCAAATTGCAAGTTGCAAGGTCCTGCTCACTGACTTCCTCTGTAGGCTTCACGATCTCGGGCAATTCGCCGTCTTTCGCTTCTGCCGCATAATCTAAGATCCCTCCTACCTCGGCAACTCTCGGCGAGCTCCGCACTATTCAGCACGCTCACGATTTGGAAAACAACAGAGGTCTGCACGTTGTATTTGCGAAGCTCATGCATTCTCGGCACTATCTCCTGCAATGGTGGTTGGACAGGGAAAACTTGTGTGTTCCTACATTGTACTACTTGTGCTGTGCATCAGTTTGTCAGCTACGCGTGCACTAACACGGCACATTGCAGCCGAGTCAGCCAGCTACACGTGGATATGATTCAGCTCGTATTCATAGCAAGTCAGTGCATGGCGGAGTAAACTACGCAAGACACCAACGCATGTTGCAGAGGGGGTTGAACAAGTGGCCGCGTCATGCGGGCAAGAGCATGCCAAACGGAAGAATCAGCCATGCGGCCTGGCTAGATTCTCCGGCACAGAAATGATCAAAGAAGGTCTTCCTGAGAAGAAGATGCGTGAACCTTCACAGGGTGCCCGGGCGAGATTTCATAGCGTGGCATCAGCATCCCTGCATCTCCCCGCATTCAGCCTGGAGCCCAGGATCTTGATCGAGTAGTCATACAGTGTGTCACAGTGGCGCACGATAAGGCCAACGGCACATATCTGGAAAACACACCAGGCTCGAACAAGTTCCCCTTGGCTCCAACAGGAGCATGGTGGAAAAAGCTATGCTCTCAGCGTAACAGTCAAGCTACCTGTCCACCACAAACATGATTTACCCCTGATTCAGCACAGGCACACAGGCTTTTGGACTCAAACGCCACAGAGGCATCAGTGAAATCATTTGCGATGCTCTTTGCCTTGGGCTCCTTGCCTCTCAGCGACTTCTCTCTGTTCAGCTACGTCCTGTTGTGTCAGCTTGACAACCTATGAACCCGAGGCAAGCACCCGCTGCCGTGCTTGCGGTGATGAAGCGCAACTGCCGCTGCGCTGGTGGAGCGCACACAGCACGTAGGCGGGCGCCCTGTCAAGGTAAGAGAGGCAGCCAGCCATTCTTCAGAACTCTTCCCCGGCTGCCCCATCAGTGCTCAGGCTGTGCGGGCGAGCAGCGGCCTCACGTCGCGCGCACGTCCCCGTTGCGCAGGGTGCATTGCGAGGTGTTTTGCAAGGTTTCTTGCAAAAAGATGCACGTGTGTACCTTCCCTAGGCTCTGCGCGAGCGAGCTAAAAACCCCTCAAGGATTTGGTGTACCCGAGTCCTGCACAGGAATCAAAGATGCAACGCAAATCTCAACCCAAGCTGGCTCATCTTGCCACAGGTCTTCGCAGCCACGTTCTCCGCCATGGACGTCGAAGTTTTCTGATTTGGGTTTCATTCCCCAAGCTGCATGCCAACACTCGGGGTTCTTACGTCCAGGGTAAAAGGAAATTAGATTGAGTGGCTCGCGCAGCACGAGCGAAACGCTGTTCCTCGAGCGGCGATCTTGGGCGCGAATTTCTCGGGGTCTTGGAACATCGCAAATCGCATGCATTTGGCGTCGTGCATGGTGTCGAATCGCGCTCTCGCCTTGGTCCTGGGGTGTTGGATGGGTTCGCTGCTTGCGGCCAAATCCGAAATCACACTCTTACCTAAGCACCGTGCACATCGACGTCGACATCCTCGTGACTGTCGCGGCTTTTCGAAGTTCAGGTTCGCGAAATACGACGTCTGGACTCGCCAAATGCGAAACTGTCGATCTCGCGAAACTGTCATCGCTTTTGGACGTCTGGGTTCGCCAAAGGTGACACTGTCGTCGTTCTTGATGCTTTTGCAGGACATCGGGAGCTCTGGCTCGAAAACCGACTTCTTTTTGTTGTACAAACGTAGTACACCGAGGAGGTCCGGAGCTCTAGTGGCTTACTTGTGTAGTACAAAAGTAGTACGCCGAGGACGTCCGACTTTTGTAGTACAAACCCAATACGCGGAGGATGTCTAGAGCTCCAGTGGCATCGAAGTCTTTCTTTCGTGACCCATGAAGTTCTCATGTCCCCATGCGGTCTCTCACTGTTTGGGGTCTGCAGTATGCTGGCATTGGTTTAACTGCAATGCGGCTTCTGGCTTGTAGCTTGCTCTGTTATGTGCATACCCGTGTCAAAGATATTTCGGCGAAGGGTAAGACTTGTGAAGCTACGTACCACATACCAGGCAACACAGCGAACCTTGCAAGCATCACCAGCCAAAAAACGGAAGCGCAACAGCTTCCTTATACAAAGTATAAAGCACATTCAAGGACTCCGGCCTTCAGAAGGCTGGATCGAAGAGCCAAGCGAGGGGCCAAAAGCAGCATGTTGAAAGCGGGGAGCGCAGGAGGATCAAAGAGATGGAGAGGTTGGACTGCTGCCTAAATCTCGAATGTGCCTAACTCGGTTGGTGATACACTGCACTGCAAGAAGCATTCTGAGCAGGCATCGCCAAATCTGTGCCAGGCTGTATGGCTGCAGTGTAATCTCAAATCCACAACGAGCCTGAATGCACTGCTAGCCACCAATGATCAAAGGGACCTGGTGACGGTGTGGACCTGGATGTCGCACCTTTGCTGCATTTGAATAGCTGCATCAAAGTTCTCGAACACTGGGGAGCAAGCATCTTTGCCAGCAGCCCGAGCAGGAGCACTTAGTCCCCTGTAACTCTCATCGTTGTCAGACGCTAGCCTTTGCAAGAAGTTCGCTGGCCAGGGGCGGCCAAATCTACCTTGACCAAGTGAGCAAGCACACTTCTGTGATTTTGGCTATCTCAAGCTTCCTACACGTGTTGGCTCGAGCCAGAGCCAAGCTGCATGGGACGAGTCTACATAAAGTCACGATGCTTTGACACTACCTCCGCACATGCAGACATGAAGGTCCGTGCAGGCAGTTTAACCGAAGATCCTTCTTGGCTTTCCGGTTTTCCTTATGTACACAGCGCACCTACTTATGCGCTGACTCCCCTCTTGAAGCACCTCCTGGCCTCGAAAGATCTCGAAAAAGGGCTCATTGGGCCCATTGAGGATCGTTCAGGCACGTCTGGAACGTCTCAGCCCATGTCCCTGGCATGAAGGCACAAAGCACATGTTCAGCGACAGCAATGCTACCCCGAGATGTCAAGTCTTGACGTTTCCCTGGACAGACCTCAAAAGTGCTTTGGCACGAACCCGGTGAGCCACAAAGGGAGTTTGAACCTCAGGAAAAAAGTGGATATTCTGGCTTCCCTGGCAGCCCGAGCCGCAGCCACCAGGAGACGCACCACGCGGAGATGCAGCGGACGGGAGGGATGCAAGGATGCGCGGAGGAACGTGGGGTGGGATGCGTGGGGGACCGCGCGGACGCAAGGGACCTGGGGCGTGGCGCGAGGGACGCGAGAGGGACGCGAAAGACATTGGGGGTAGGTGGGGCACGCGGAGTGACGCCAGGGAATCAGGTTGACGCTGGGGATGCGGGGCGAAACCGGGGACGAGAATGGAAGGCCATCGTGGGCGCGAGGGACGCGAAGGAGGCGAGGGACGCAGGTGGGGGACGGCGGTGTTACGGATGCTCCGGCCACCAGATGCTTTGGTACATTTATACAAGTAGGTGGATGCTCTGGATGCGCCGATAACATACTGACAACATGCAATGGTGCGGGCATGGATGCTCTGGCCACTGGATGCAGGGGTAACATGGACTGGATGCCCCGGCATGGATGCCGCGGCCACCTGGAGGACGAGGGCAACACACAAGAGCGCAAATAAACGGTGGATGCGGGGGACGTGACAGGGTGGGATGTGGGGAGGGGTGGGATGCAATCTCTTCTGCTTTCATTCTGCTCTTGCATCCCAAGGGCACCTGAAGCTAGCCTGCAACCCTCGAGGAACCTTGCAACTTGCCATGATGAGATGCCCATTCCCAGTGCAGGGAACGATTATTAATGTAGACGAGTGTATGAGGCATATGCTGATCGAACATGATGAAACAAGGCCGTGAGGCTGTCAAGGGTCCGCGCTGACGTGCTTGCAAAGCTTCCATGGGCCTGCAAAGAAGGCGACGGAAATCTACAGCTGACTCCACAACGACCTGAAAACATGACAAACTCGAACGACTGAAAGCCATAAACACAGTGGAGTGGAGAATTGATTGGGTACTTTTCTGTTTCGGTGTTTTGCTCTCTACTTGTTTTGGGGGAGAGGGACGGGGGGGGGCGCCTTGGATTCATTAGGATAACCTCTCATTTCTGCACATATGAATAGAAAACCATTTTGTTCTCAACATCTCCATGGTCGTGGTCTTACACTATTTGGGCGCACCCCTTTTGCCCCAAAGTTTGCAGAAAGATACATCCAGGGTGCCCATTTAAAGAGAGCGGCGGTGCAGCCCCTCCCAGTTGCAAGCAGAATGATCCGAGGATTTGTGGGCCCGCATCTCCCATCTGTGTCGGGCTTGGCGTTGCAAACCAGAATGATGCAGGCATGCCATCCTCCACTTCCAAAGAAAAACAAGGGGGACGGGGGCTTGGAGGAGATGCAGCCCCCACCCCATTTGCCAAAGTGCCAACATCTCCAGTACATTTCACGTTTTGGATTGCGGCCTAAGCCGTTTGCAAAGCGAATGACGCAGCCTGCCCCCTCCACTTGCACAAAAGTGATCAGGGTGTGAAACTTGGTGGAGGTGGGGGGGGGGGGGCACCCCAGAATGAACGGGCCCACATGCCCTGCGTGCCCCCTCCATTGCAAAAAAGCATGACCCAGCATGTGCAACTTTGCAAAAGAACCGAGACGGGGAGTGGCAAACCCCCCAATCCGCGTTTTGGGTTGCAGCCCCAACCGTTTGCAAACAGAATGATGCAGGTATGCCCCTCCACTTGCAATAACAAAGGTCAAGTACAGCTTTAAAGACATGAAGAGGAGGGGCAGACAAGGGGACCAGCAGACGATCGGACTAGGGGACCAGCGGAGAAGGCAACCGCAGGACAATGAGACCAGAGGACCGGCAGAGCAGAGGACCAGCAGACCTGAGCACCGCTGGAGCACAAAAACAAAGGTCCACAAGAAGTGTGCCCAAATCAATAGGTCCTCCATTGCAAAAACCGCGGAGTTTTATGGCACGTATGGCACTCGAGAAACCGAAGAAATGCCAGCACAAGCTGCAGCAGGCTTGGTGCCAAGCTGCTTAGCGTCGCCCTCAAGACGAGGAAGCCCTGCCGGATGAGGGAGGGCAATGGTAATGCTGCCCTGAATGGACCATCTAGTATGTTTGGGTTCATGAAGACATACCCCATCGGAAGAACCTCCGTAGATTTTCGGAGGCAGCTCTTCGAACGCCATCTGCAAGCACCAAGCTCATGCGAACAAACTCATCATATCTCATCATAGCTCATCACAGCTCATTCTTGCTCATCGCCCGGACTACTTCCTCAAGAGACAAGATTCGTTGCCTGGCTGGGGCGGAAGTCGTGCACCACGACGGTGCCATCATTTTTCACCTAACTCAGAGCGTTAGCTAAAAGTCTACTACACAGCCTGTCGCAGCGTTCTCCACACAGCTCACCTAAGAGTTAAGAGCGGCACCTGCAAAGCTATCCTCAGATCAGGCGCAGCGCACTCCAAGATCTCAACAAGTTGCTCGTCACCCTTGCAACTCATTCCTTTGTTTGCAGATAAGCCGCCATTCTTCAAACTTGGTGTGCTTGGCAGGCGGGAAAAACACTTTTTTCCTCAAGACCACAGCACTACAATGAAGTGCAAATGTCAGAGGGTTCACATGGGTTTCAAAAGGCCGAGGGGTTGAACATGTGGCAAAGCACCTGCATCGGACTAAACAGCGAGAAATCTGAGAGCGAAGTAGCGCGACCTAGCACGCAGTAACCCCACAACCACTTCATCCTTGCCATCCTCAGCCAACGACTGAAGTGAGCTTGAACGATAGACACTCAGCGACTCCTGCAGGCACGGAATGTCACAGATGTGGGCGCCGCGGTCATGGCCCATGCAAAATCTGAGAACGAGATAAATGAGATGAGTTCACATGATATCAAGGCCTGGCCCGACTTGTGAAAGGAGCAAATGTTCAAAAAATTCCTGCAAGCGCAGGAGGCTTCCACACTTGTGACTTGCCAGCAGGTTGCCTAATCAACGCAACCGTCTAAGTGAGTTCTCTGCCTGTAAGAAGCGAAATACGTGTCGACGTCGGGAATGCTGAGCCTAGCTCTTTAGAGATGCCACTCCGTATGCACGGGAGCTGCAAATGCCGAGTTCCCTGCGTCTTGATCAAGCGACAGTTTGATTGAAGCTCTCTGTACAGAAAGCGCCTGCACGAACAAATGTAGTGGGCTCACGGTGACAGTTGCGGTAGAGCTGCTAGAGCTGAGCATCGCTCAGTAACGCATCTCCACTCAGATGCGCCGCAGCTGCAGAAGCCTCGGGGGCCCGGGGGGGGGGCTGAGGCAGCCAACAACAGAAGCTCAAGCGACTTCGGGATGCTGGCCAAATCGAGCACCGCTGTGAGGGCTGTTGCATTCGGCGCCTGAAACGTGTCCAAAAGCTTGTCTGGCAGCTTGAACGCGGAATCTTGCTGGGGCTTGAGCAGGAAAAGCAGCGCCTCACATGGACATTGACTTCTGAACATTGGCATGCGGCGAACAGCGCCTTGAGGAGCAAATCGAGCCCCGGCGGGTAGACGTGACGTTACAGAAGCCTGATAAGCTCGAACATGTGTGATCAGAAACAATCATGCGCAGCGCTCTCTCACAAAGCACCCTTCATAGGCGTGAATCACATCGGCGGAGATGAGAAAGAGCTTTGGCAAGACTGAAGCACTTCAGAAAAGAGAGTCGCAGACACCTCTGTCACCCCAAGGCGGAATACTGTCAGGGCAGTCGCACGGACAAGAAGGAAAAGCAGTATGATCTGAGGCGAGCTGTAGCCGCGAAGCCGAAAAAAAACGTCAGCATTTTTTTTCTGTCAGCACGCAAGCAGACCCTAAACCCATCCTACAAGTTGCACAGCACAATTTCCTTCCCGTGGTTTCAAGCCCATTCGTCTTGGCACCTTCTTCGTCTCATCACCACTGCCACCCAATATCATGCCGCCACACAGATATCATTCTATTTGGGGCTCGCCATGGCTCGCCCACTAACAGGGGAACCGCTCGAGACTCTCAGCGTGGTCAGAGGAAAAAGCCCCGCCTCTCGCTGATGCTTTCCTGCAAGAAACAATAAAGCCACATTGCGGGCAGCACTCTCTTAGGTACACATCGTCCTTCACGCCGTTGTGCTTCAAGGCCTTAACAGTCTTAACACGGATGTCCAATACTCACGCAATCAACTTGCCATCTGCTCGGCGTAATCTCTGCTTTAGGTGCTCCACTTGCGATGGATTGGCCCTCCACCTGTCGCAGATGCACCGTTAGGAAGATTGCTGCTCTTCAGGGTGCAACACTGACCTCGAAATCTGGATGTAGCCAGAGCTTCCAGAAGAAGAGGTCCAGACCTCAGATCAGTCTCAGGATTGTTTTGAGCCATCTGCAAACATTTGACACAAAGTGCCAGGCGATTAGCAGGGATGTTGTCCTGGATAACGATGAGGAAATCCTCGGGAGAAGGCAAAGCATACCACAGCAGCATACCATGTCATACCATGTCAATACCCTTCCGAGAAGAGGAGAGAAGGTGGAGACGAGCGGGCCGGGGCATGCCAAGGATGCCAAGGATGCCAAGAAAGAAATGCCCCAGGAGAAGAGGACCCAGGGGAAAAGGGTAAGGGCCTGGGTCAGAACCAGGTCGAAAGGCTCCTGGCAGAGCTCTCTCCGAGCAGATGCGCTCTGCCATTCAAGCCGGACCCTGGCGCCTCACAACCACTGTAGAAGCGGAAGATGGGCGAAAAGTCAGCTTTGGAGTCCCACAGAGTTACCACTGACCTGCAGCACATGCAAACCGAAAAACCTCGCTTTGCACAACTCACCTGCATGGTTGTGAATTTTGGTGTCAGTGCGATCACGCAGATGTACTGACTTGCAACACTCAGACATTCTTTGGACGATCCTTAGCCGACGCAGTCAGAACATGATGCATGCGATCGGCAGCCGCTGACTTGGCTTGTTTCTGGGTCTTGCGAAGTGCGCTGCCAAGATATGTGTAGCTTAGGTGCTGCGTGCCCCGACCCAACAGATTGGCAAAGAGGTTGTTTCCAGCCCTTGCGTCCTTCCTTCCCCCTGGGTCCTAGAACCTCGAAAAAAAGTGCGGGACACCCTCAAAGGGACTCAAAAGCGCACTTTGCCACATCAACACTTGCTCCAAACCTGGAATCCAAAGCACAGAGGATGAAGTGATCCAAGGTGTAGACCTTGCACAAAGGTGTAAGGAAAGTTCCACGGCATGCCAAGAAAACATGCAAACCCAAGCGCTGAGCGGACACCCAGGTCACTCGTGTAACATCTACCTGTGTCCATGTGAGCTAGTGTTGGTCAACTCTTCACCAATGTTGTGGTGCCTGTACAAGCGGAGCGTCCGTCTCCAAGAAAGCCCGTGGCTCACCGTCGAGTGTCCACACCTCTGCGTCACACCGAGTGAAAGGAGTCACGTGGTCCACATGCTTATCATGCACGCATCTGCTGGGCACAAGACATTCAGCGACCTTTGGCTACCACGGGCCTTCCATACGAATGCAACCCGCAAGCTGGCCAAACTCAAAGCAAGTCTGCCTAGCAGATTAACACCTGACTTTCACAAACACATCTTCTACTTCGGCAACAATTCGGCTTTGATTGCAATGCTTCCTGTCTACATCACGAGCGTGCTTTTGTTGGCATGCCTTGCTCTGCCCCTCTTTTAAAGCCGCGACTCCAAACTCGCAAACAGGCTGCTGAGGCTTCTCACGCAACTTCACGACAGGGCAGCATCTTCATGTGGCTGTGGCTGCCTAATGATGCTTCTGAAAGGTCCGCCAGCGTCCTTCTCATGTTGCACAAAATACACACCGAAGGGTCAAAGGTCAATGGCAATCAAGGGACAACACGGCCACAACAACGAGTGTCTTGAAAGTACGTAGAAAGGGATGTGAAGGAACTCTGACAGGATATCATGAAAGGGCCGTCGCCAGAAGACAGAACTATGGGGAAGACAATTTGATGGAAGCGAAGGGCTTCGACCTGGAACATCTCGGAGAGAGCAGATGAAAGTGGACCCCATTCTGTTCGGCTTGTGGCTTCCGTGAACAAAGCTTGCAGAAAAGGAAAGAAAGGGATTGGAAGTTTCTGAAAGAAACAGGCAGGAATTAAAACCTTGAAGATTGGGCTTCCGGATCCGCAGACCCCTAGGGGGGCGGCGTCAGTGAAGACCCATTGCCCCTACCACCTACCACCTACTCCATCCAAAGCTCGACCGGGCCCCAGTGCATGCCCGCCCGCTTGCCCTACCCCCACCACCCACGCACCCCGCTCCCCGCCGCTTGCCCTACCTTCACCACCCACGCACCCCGCACTCCATCCCATCGACCCCCATGGTCCATCGACATGGCCCAGTGCATGCTCGCCCCCTCCGCTCCGCCCGCTACGCCTACTCCCCCCCTGGCCGCCTACCCCTCGACCCCCATGGCCCCCATGGACATGGCTTCTCAGCTGACTTTAAAGGGCCCCAGTGCATGCCCGCTCCTTCCCCCCTCACATGGCTCCTGCTCCACCCAACCCTCACCACCCCCCACGCACCCCGCCCATGCCCCTCATTGGCTTCTCAGCTGACTTTAAGGCCCCGGTGCATGCCCGCCCCCCTCCGCTTGCTGCCACCCGCCCATGCCCCTCATGGACCCATGGCTCCTGGCCCCATTGGCTCATGGTCCCACTCTCCATCCCCTCGACCTCCATGCTCCATGGACATAAAGGGCGCCAGTGCGTGCCGCCCCCTCCGCTTGCTGGCCCCAGTGCATGCCCGCCCGCTTGCCCTACCCCCACCACCCACGCACCCCGCTCCCCGCCCATGCCTTTCATGGACCCATGGCTCCCTACCACCTACTCCGCCCCATCCAAAGCTCTACCGGGCCCCCGTGCATGCCCGCCCACTTGCCCTACCCCCACCACCCACGCACCCCGCCCCCTGCCCATGCCCTTCATGGACCCATGGCTCCTGGCCCCATTGGCTGGACGTGGCTTCTCAGCTGACTTTAAAGGGCTCCAAGTGCATGCTCCGCTTGCTCCGCCCGCTCCGCCCTTCCCGCTCCGCCCTCCCCCCCTAACCCTACCCCTCGACCCCCATGGCCCCCACCATGCCTCCTGGCCCCATTGGCCCATGGTCCCACTCGACCCCCATGGCTGCCATGGACATGCCTCATATGGCTCCTGCCCACCCCCCATGGACATGGCTTCTCAGCTGACTTTAAAGGGCCCCAGTCCATGCCCGCCCCCTCCGCTTGCTCCGCCCACTCCGCCCCCTCCGCCCTTCCGCCCATGGCCCCCACCATGGCTCCTGGCCCCATTGGCCCATGGTCCCACTCTCCATCCCCTCGACCCCCATCACCCGAAAGGGCCCGTGCATGCCCACCCCTAGGGCTTTGGGGCTTGGGGTTTCGGAGTTTAAGGTTTCGGGTCTGGGGTTCAGGGAATACCCCAAACTCGATAAGGGACCTCTTTATCCGCCTGGTGCGTTTGCCTCGAAGGGGTCGGCGGCACTGGCGGTAGCCATTAAATCGGGCAGCGCGAGGTCCCCAAAGGACCGAGCAAATGCGGACCTTTTAGCCCGGGTCGTCCCGGGAATAGCCTTGCTGGCCTCTGGCCTTCTGCGAAGCAGAATTAGGCCGGACGCCAGTGCCGCCGACCCCCGCGTGCCGCCGGTGAACGGTTTTTTTTTCGTGGTTTTTTGCGTCGCCACGGAGGCCCCCAGAGGGCGCGCATCATGAGCATCAGCGGGTCCAGCCCGGGACCCCCAGGCGCGCATCAGGAGCATCAGCGGCTCCCGGGGCGGGACCCCGGGGGCGCATCAGGAGCATGATGCCCCCCAAAGGGCGGGCATAAGCGACGTGTCTAAGCTCGGGGCTAGGAAAAAGGGAGTTTAGGGGCCTTATAAAGTGCTTAGAAACGTTAAGGGAGTCTAGGAGCCTCAAACGCTTAGAGATTTGAAGGGAGTTTAGGGGCCTGAAAATGCTTAGAAACTTAACGCTTAGAGATTTTAAGGGAGTTTAGGGGCCTCAACATGCTTAGAAACTGCTCGCCCCGGGCTTCTGCGTGCGCTGCCCGCCCATGGGCGCAGCCCCTTAAAATAACTGTCTTCACAGGATGTGTAACCTCTAACGATTGCTCCGATCGATCGAGAGCGCCTGCGCTCCCACATGGCCAGCGTCCGCAGCTGGATGCTGCCAGGTCATCAGCAGGTCTCCCATCCACTGGACCTGCAAATCTATTCTCCACAGTTTCTACAGTCTGCCTTTGATGGGATGTGCCTCCAGCGCGTCTCGCTTGCCTACAGGAAGAAGCTTCACAGCCCACCGCTTCAAGAAACCGGTGAAACTTAAACATGCTGGGCGAACGCTCGGAATCTCTGGCGGAGCCTGTCAAAGAGCAACGAAAGCCCGAAAAGCCCGAAGTATGATGACGCCGGGCTCCGAGCTGTTTGCCCCATCTGGATCGTGACCAAAGGCTGCACCAGCGTCATCATGCTGGCGGGGGTGACAGCGGCAACATGACAACATGAAGACACGAAACAGGGCAGTGTGGGTAAGGGTGTGATCATGCTAAGTGACTGCAGCAGCACTTGCATGTGTTTCAAGGCCAGCCTGGATGCAGCAGATGAAATCCAAGGTTTCTGTGTGCCACAACAAGCAACAGCTGCTCTCGACCAGGATAAGTCGCTGCCTGCAGACTTTAAGCTGTGACAGCCACAGCCTTGTCTAAAGCCAGCCCTATTCAACACATGGAAAAAATGTTGGACTACATCAACAGTGTACAGCCTGTGTACCAACAACTCGAGAGGTCGACCCTGGCAGGCACGGAGTCTATGGCGAGAATGCCAAAATGCACACAAGAAATTGCGTGTTCCAGCCCAAGCTGGGACAGTCGCTCTCGCCAGCGAGCCGGGACACCTGCTGAGGCATATTTGAGAACCGACGAGGTGTTGGAAGCAGAAAGCATCTTACCTTGCTTCTGGAAGCGTAATTGGCTCCTGAGAAGTGTCATACTCCCAGACCTTGACGATGTAATGCCGCGATAACTTGCACAAGCTGATATCAAGCAGATCAATAAATCACCCCACCTTGATGCAGTCATTCAAGCAAACGAACAGCCTGTTCTTGATGTTGGCAAGTCTGTGAAAACATCCTGAGCACCAAGAGGTCTTAACAAGACGAGAGACAAGAATGCGCTGCCATGTGAGGAAAAATATGTTTCTATCGTTTGCAGGTGGCCAACCGTTGACGCAAACCCCTCTCACTCTGTGGCTTCGCGGATTAGCAAACTTGTTACTACAAGTTTGACAGCCTCCCCATCGTTCAAGGTTGCACACCACACTGAGATACTTGCACTCGATGGCTTACCGGGGTAGGTTGAATGCTGTTTGAAATTCTGCTTGTGGAGGTGAAGCGGCTGCAAGGCATCGGATACCCTGTCCCCTTCCGAGGGATTCGACAGGGACAGGCTCACTGAGAATATGGCTTCTGAAAGTCTGCCCCGTGTCGATCTCCCGGATGACCTTCCATTGCTTGTTGGGTGAAATTGCTGCGCGACTACCGCATGCCGACGGTGCACGGTGCATACCACTGCATAACCCATTCGGGAAGCCGAGAACCCGAGAAGGCAGTTCTGCTACGGTTTGGGGGGGGATCAGTAATTGAGCTTGCCCCGCCTGACCCCGTCGCGATTTTGGCCCCCCTGGGCCCCACTTGCCCCGCTTGATGAAACGTGACGATGACACTGCGAGTGAGAGCTGCATCAGAGGGAGAAGGGGGCCAAGTGAAGCAAGTGAAGGAAGACCAAGTGGGGGAAATTGGGCAAATTAGTCTGTGGATCCTGGCTGTGCCCACCATGTGCTGTTTTCAGATGTTCATGACTCATGACCATTGCATCAGACTTGTGGAATCATAAGCAGTGTCAGCCGGTGTTTGCAGGCATGCCCTGTTCATTGCCACTTACGATGGAACGCTGTGGTCAGTTGGGATACCCATCCAGTCTGTGCCACATGCAGCAATCAACAGGGACAAATGATAAGAGCGCTCACCTGTCTGATCCTGAAGATGGAATGCGACATACACTTGGACATCCAGCTTCACAAAATCTCAAGAACTCCAAGCACATGTGCACAGCTTGTTCAGTGATGGATTGCTGTGGATAGAACTGCACCTGCCCACCTGCCCATCGCTGCTGCGGACGACTTGCACCACACGGCCATTCTCCCAAAAAAATACGTTGCCTCACGGGCTACTGAGGACAAAGACTTGGTCAAGAAACTCCTACTCCTTAGGTTGTGGCAGTGATCTGCGAGCTCTAAGCCTCAGCAGCAAGACGTGGATCACCCTTGACATTCGATTGATAACCTGGGACTGCTGCTGCCGCGGTAGCGCCTTCGACGCGCACGCCTTCCACACCCACTCAAATTATAAGTTCCACTCAATACGTAGCTCGTTCGACAAAAATCTGCAAGCATCATCGTGAAACGCCTTCCGGCCCGACCATGAAGGGCAGATGATGCCTGAGCACCTTGGAACTCAGTGCTCCGATCAGCACCGATCAGCATCTAGGAACTTGCTCAACTTCATCTGCACGATTGTCGCTGCAAGGTAGGGTCAAGGCCATCAAGCTCCTGAGAGCTCACAACAAAGTGACACGTGTCGCGCAGGAAAGTTCAAGTGCGGTTCCGTTTTGGGGTCCCGTACCCACCATGGGCCATCCGAGAACCTGAATTTTGTTTCTTCGACCGCGCCTTTCCAAGCCAAGCGCATGGCCGCAACCTCGAATTGCGAAAGAACATGAAGAAGCTCAAGCTTCCGGGTTGACTGGGTCATGAAATCACCGCAACTTCGCCGACGGGTGCTGCCATCGAACTAGTATCACCCCCTCAAATCTCCTAGGTGTCTGACAACGCAGGCATTGTCCTCTGCACAGCTTTCTGCTGGTCCACGTTGTGATGAACCTTTCCACAAGCATGGCATCTCCGGCAGGTTCCAATTCTCCGACTTGTATCAGTAAAGCTGACAAGTGAGGACAAAGACCCTGTCAAGGCACCTGCCATGGATCATCAGCTTAAAATCCCGTTTAGGCAACTCAGGCGTGTTACGTCCCTCATTGCAGACAGAATGTGGGCTTCGCCTCCGAGCGAAGTGCGAGCATGTGCTAAAGCTAACAACAATCCCGCACAAAGGCTAAAGCCACAATGAAAGAAACCAGCACTGATTTCGCCAGTCTCTCACAATTAATTACTAAGTGGTGATATAGATACAAGCCACATGTTCAGGCTAAAACACGCACATGCACCGCAATCAGCTGCTCGGAAAACAGCCCCTTCGAGGCGCCTGGCGGATGAAGATGAACAACCGACGCCATCTGCTGTCGTCTGACACCTCACGGACAAGTATTTTAAAGAATGCTGCCTTGCGTGACATCCTTGATGGCAAGCCTCACACGAGCGCATGTAATCGTCATAATACACACCGAAGTACTGAAGCACGAACCAATGCCTAAGCAGGCATTCAGCAGACCAAATGATGACGAGACGACCGTTGGCCAAGCATGCATGATGCGAATATCTGCGGGGCCCGCCAATGCTCGTGAGCCACCGCGACCCTGCGTCTCAGGCAATCACTTCAAATTCCGAATTCGTGCAATCCTGCAAGCTACAGGGATACATGATGCTTAACTGAAACTTGCGTTTCGCATCTATGATTCCGCAACACTGTTTCTCAAGTCATGGTTTGGTTCTGACAACATTCGGCCTTGCTGCAGCGTGGCTCAATGAACACGCTCTGGCAAGCGAAACAACGTCCGAGAAGGACCTGAAACAGCAGCAGCATCAAAAGCATTCAAAGCACTCAAAGCAATTGCTGAAACTTGACACCTATCTGACCTATCTTTGCTCTTTCAAATATGGGAGGTATAGTGTATCAGTACGTGCGAGGACTGAGCAAAGCGCAAGACCAACGTCAGCACGTCGCAACGCAAGTCAGAGATCGAATCTTGAAGCCTGTCATCATGACTCCCAACAGCAGATGAGCTTCTCCGGTGGCGTTGGTGCTGTTATCACACGTGCCTCCCAACCCGGCTCATCGCTGAAGTTCATGGTCACCATGGCATGCCCAACACTCAACGAGACATACCATGAAAGCACTAAATTTCAAACTGTGTGCTATTCATCCTGGAGATGGTGAACTTGAACTGCTAGTGACACACGCACACACATGCACACAAACAAACGCCGGCCTTGTAAGACTCGTGGTTTCTTGGACCGCGGGCACTCACCCTCACACAATACGAATTGAGCCAAGCATGTTGAAAGTCTGCACCACACACCACAACCACTATCCTTCAAATCTCTGCTGAAGAAGACGAAGGTCATACCGAAATTCGGATCGGACTGTAACATTTTGACTTCATGCCCATTTTGACTGTTGCTGCCGGCAGCATACGTTAATACGCAACGTTGCACTGCGCTTGATGACCCGTCTTCTTGGCTTGGTTCACAACCAATCTCGTGTTAACGGATGCAAGCAACCCATCGACTTGAATGGCAAGGCCTTGACTTGCCTGTGCCAGGAGCCGGGCTGCCGGGCTGTGCTCACCGAGTCTCTTTTCATCTTGACATTGTGGCGGAGTCCATTCGGACGACCCCCTTTCACAGCATGCATTCACTGTTTCTGACTAGGCATTGACACTAGGCATTGACACGAGGTCACTAGGCATCACCATTAGGTGACTAGGCAGCTGCAAGTGAAGCCACATTCGACTTCACCGGAGAGCGGGTGAAGGTGACAAGTGTTTAGTCCACCTTGACGCTCTGAGCAGAATGGGAAACCTCGGAGGAGGCGATGGAGGTGTCTCCACCGAGACAAAAGAAGCATTCCTCAATGTGTCCGTGGTTTCCATGGAACTGGTTGGCCCCACTGATTGGGCAACACCCCCGGAGATCTTCTGTTCGTCAAGGTTTATACACACCGCGCCGAAGATCTTCGTGGCTGCTCGCAGGGCTTCTACTCCCAAAGAAGAAATCTGCGTATGGCGGAGCGTCAGCTGGTCTACGCCTGTCGTTGTCTCCAGGGCGTCAGCGATTGCCAAAGCCTCCTCATCACCGAGCTGACAGGCATCCAGATGGATGTGACGCGACCCAGACTCCACAATCCTTCTGGCACCTTCACAACCCAGCTTTGTGTCACGGATGATGACCACATCTAGATTACCAAAATAGGGGAGCGCTGCACACAAGACTGGCACCTGGTCGTCCGGCAACTGCAGGTTGAGCTTTGTCGTCTCCTGCGCCTTTTGCAAGAATATCTTCTCCTGCAACTCTTTGACCAAAGCCGAATCATTGCGGTGGGTGAACCTGCAGCTGTCCATGCAGTTCGAGAAGAGGTTCGGAGGCATCGGCACACGCTTCGCAAACGTCTCCCGTAGACTGGCCCACTCCTGCTCTGCCTGGCACCAGCCGCGCTGGTCATATGGCACGTGGTTCAGCTTGAGAGCTGCAGCAGGAATCTCTTCCACGCGCTTGTTGGCATCATTGTACACAGCAACTAGACAATCTTTTTGGGCAGACTGCACGTCCATCGGGGTCAGCTCGTCCAGAACTTCCACCTGACACGGTCGCAGCTCTTGATGATACTCTGAAAAAACAGCTAAATCTTTGAGTAGGCTTTGGCTGAAACCTGACTTGACATTCTGACTCTCAGCCCTCTAGCACCCCACGAAGACTGCCCGCCTTCACCAGCTCGTGAGCGTACAAGACATGCATTCCTTGAAGAGCTTTCAGGAAGCTTTGGTTTTGGGCCTCGCTGCGGGGATACTGGAAGAGCGACATGAAGTCGATGAAGAGCCATACTTGCGAGCGATCACCTTCCATGTGATGGAAACGGCTGATTGTCTGATCCAGCTGAAACTTCCATGGGTCCGGGTGCTGCATGCTTTCCCAGCAATGCGAGACAGACCCGAAATGGATCAGCTTCCCACATGCGGTGAAAAAGCGGCGGCCTTTGTCGGGATGGGCAAGGTGATTCAGCTCTGAAGCCGCCACGAGTGCCGTTTCCCCGGAGTCCAGAACGACGCTTTCGGCCTCCTGCCTCCGTGGCCAGGGACGCCTTTTCTGCTGCAGCTCCAACAAGTAGGACAAACGAACGAGGCGCACATCTGCTTCTCTAAGGTACCGAATGAAGTCCAGTGGATCAGTCAGACTGTACTGCCCATCAGCTTCCGGGGTGACCCTCCCGTTGATTTTGCGCATCTTCCGTGCCTTCCAAGCCAACACCATGATCGCAAGGGCAGCAGCACAGGACAGCGAGGCGACCAAGCTTGCAGTGCCTTGCTCCAAGGGCACTTTGGCCGTGTTGTCACCCAAGATGACGTGCGGTGCCAGAGAAGTGCTGGTTTGGGTTTGGCTTGAGCGGGTTGAGCTCTGAGTTGTGGTGGATCGAGTCAAGCTAGTGATGCTTGTGTGGTGGCCGGGGCTTCTTGAATCTCCAGCTGCAACAGCTGAAGTGAAAGTTACGCTCACATTCCATGTGGTCCACGTGCTGCTAGTGGTCGATGAAATCGACGAACGTGTTGCAGTGGCCGTTGCTGTGACAGTGGCGGTGGAAGTGGTGCTGAGCGTAGTGCTGCTGGTGGCAGTGCCCAGCGCCATCGCAACAGGGGTAAGGGTGGCGGTGGAAGTGAAGGTGGTGGACGTCAAGATGGTGCCTGAAATTGTGGCAGAACTGGACGTCGTGGTTGTTGCAGAGACGGAACTGGCACTTCCCAGCGTGGTTGTAGTGTTGGGCGCTGGCACTGTGAACTTCCAGAAATCTTGCCTGCTCTGGTAGGGTCCAGCCCATCCACCATGCAACCAAAGATCTTGCCGCATGAAATCGTAAACACAAACATGGGAATAGCGTGCCATGGGCTTGCTAGTCAGGACTGTTTCCTCAGTCCAAGATACCATTTGGATGTCGTACCTCCACAAATCATCAATGCGTCCGCCATCAGTTAGACCACCATGCAGCCACAAACGATGGCCAATGGGGTCATAAATTATAACAGCATTCCGACGTGCTGAAGGTTTGGGGAGACCTGGTGTTTGTTCAGACCAGGTCTTTGTCTGGACGTCCAACTTCCAAAGGTCATCGAACTTGGCCGTGTGCTCTCCTCCATGAAGCCACACAGCACGGCTTTCAGAGTCGTAGGCCATAGCATGAGAATAACGCTTTGGTGGCTCAGGATCAAGAGCCCAGGTCCTCCAGGTTGAGGTCTGGATGTCGTACCTGCAAGTGTTTTCGAGGACATAATTACCGTTGCTCATCCGCCCCCCAAACATCCACAGCATCTGCTCATGAAAATCATAGACCATCGCATGGTTCTTGCGCCCTACAGGCTTGTTAAGGGCATGGGTCTGCTCTGACCACGTCATATTGGCAATGTCAAACTTCCAGAGCTTTTCACCGTTGGTCAGGGAGCCTTTGCCTCCGTACAGCCAGAGTGCATGCCTCTGCTCATCAAAAACCATGGCATGCCCACCGTTGGTGCTCGTGGGCTCGCTGGCAAGGATTTGTTGGGTCCATGTGGAGCTCTCTATATCATAACGCCAGAAGTCGGACTTGCCCTCTCCGCCATGTAGCCACAGTGCCTGGCCTATGAAGTCATATGCCATGACGTGGCCTTGGCGAGCAGACACTGGAGGTGTTCCCAGTTGGGTCCAAGCACCTTGTGCTCGAAGCAGCCCGGTGACGACAGATAGGACAAGCAAGCTTGTTGCTGCTTTTGGCAACAGCAAGGAAAACCATATCTGGTCGCTTCTCTGCATGTCAAAAGGCCTGGGGTGAGATTGGAGCCAAAATGGCTTCAGAACGTCAACGACGCATTGCCACATGTGCATCGCATCCAGAGACATTCCACAAAAGCTTGCCCCCAGCATCTCCGCAAGCAATGTTGCGAACCAGCCGATGACAATGTGCTCAAATGGCTCACATATTCTTAAACAAGGGCGGCAGCTTGCGCGAGCACCAACGGAAACACAATCAAACATCTCGAAACTTAGTTCCATCTAACATCGTGGAAAATGGGTGGCCGGAAGCACTGAAGTGCAGAGCATGCCATTGGCTTCGCAACGTTTGCCACTTAGTGCCGTCCAACCTCCCTCCCCAAAAGGCGCGTAAAATTCCAAGCACGGCGACCTGCCATCATGCAGCACGCTTTCTGAAACCACACAGCTCAAGACAGATGCAAGTACTGGCTCTACATTCCTTCAGAAAGTTTCAAAACAATTTTTCTGTCGTGGTGTCTTCTGGCCCACACTTGCTCTACGGCCGTAGTTATGAGCAGACGCTTGCATGAAGGAGGGAGGAGCGGAGGGGGTAGGAGAGGAGAGGAAGAGAGACGGAGAAGAGAGAGAAACCTAAGAGAGAAAGAGAGAAGGGAGGGGAGACTACAAACCCATCAAGGTTATCACAACAAAAACCGTAATACACAACACTTGGGCATGACGTCTTAGTTTCTAAGGTAGCAAGAAGTAAAATGGCGCGGTTCATGTTAAACCAAGATTAATTTAGGCTGGCGAACACCAATAAAGTAAAGTTTCTTGCCTAACTAAGTTCGAATTCGTTCGGACATAATGTAAATTTTCTGGCCAAATCTGTTGTTGGAAGGGAGACTGCCATCCAAGTCATTGGAGGACGCTGGGCACAACATCTTATGATTGCGGCAATAACTGTGGACGGCTCCACCAGTTTTCAATAGGACCTTCTTCACACTATGGCACTTTGCTAGCACACTGGGCAATCATGGCCAGGTGGTTGCACCTACAATGTAGGCCATCCTTGCGTTTCTTAACAGGCATCCGTTGTTTGATCTTGCTCTACTTCTGGGCTAGTAGACTGCTCTTCAACTGCATGGAGCTGCCTAACAGCCCGTGTGGCTCTAATTTCAATAAACATTGCAAGCTGGAAACGCCGGTTTTATCGATTGCGCTTCGCGACGCAGATCCGCAACAACGACCTTGTAGAATTTATACAGCTGTCTACTGCGCCCAAAAGCAGCCTTCTTGTGGCAAGATCCACTGTCCGCTCTCATAAACAATACTTGTCCACGTCTTGATTCATGGCTGTATCAGAGCGTCCATGTTCAGACTGTCCCTCTCGAGTTCGTTCTTGATGTGCTAAATCTGTGAAAACACAGCAGCAGCGCGCTGAACCCTCTTTTTCTCACGACTTGAGCCAAAGTCATAAGCCGGAGGCTTCGTCAGTGAAACTCTTTACACACAGGTGAAAACTCTGCTCTGCCACGTGTTCTCCACAGCCACAAAACAAACTCAAACGTCAGTGGGAGTTCTCGGGACCTACCCAACTACACCTCAAGCAAGCAAAAACGTGTACAGTCACTTCTACAGTTTCCAGACACACATCCCTACAACTCAAGCACTTCAAAAGGCTTTCCCACTTAAAGCAGCACTCCCGTCGAGCCTCCAAGGCACAACTACGGAGCTCCTACAACTACACACACACAACTCTGAGCCAGCATGCAGGACAACAAAGTTAACATGTCCTTAGACAGGAACTTTCTTCAGCAAGCGCAAAAGCGTTACCCAGTGGGCGTCCTTCATGCAAACGAATTCGCCCGGAGCCCCTTTGGGGCGAGACATTGTCTCTCGGGCAGTCGGTCACCCTGCTACGGCAAAACCACAGCTCAAAAGCTGGGAAGTGGTGCACCCACAGGCCATCTACAGGGAACTATGTTACAGCTACTGCCACAGCTACTCAGCAGGAAGGAGTTGCGACCTCAGCCCAATGCCCCCAGTGAAGCAGCTCTGTTTCCACAGCCTCCTAGGCCGGGGTGGTGCACAGCCAGCGAACTTCTTCCCCCAAGGGTCCCAGGGTGTTACATATCTGGTCAAAACACGCCTGGGGTGGACCCCTGGAAACTTGCCGAAAGTAGCCCGCATCATGGGGGCAGTATTTGGCAACTACCCTCCAAAAGCCCGTCCATTCCGGCCTCCCTTGGGAGGGGCCCCAGTTGTTGGCATCGATGAAGGCCGGAAGGGGGACCAACCTCGTGCCCAGCGGCCTGTGGCTCAGGTTTGAAATGCCAACATCCTTGGCATCTACCCCACAGGCATACAAGTGCAACAAGGTGGCCAACGTGGCCAGAAGGCAGGAATGCACACGGAGACCATTGGCAGCATTTTCCTGGAGCCACTCACGGGCTTGGCAGCGACGTGGTACAGGAACCGATGCAGGCCCGCACCTGGCACACCTTCGGGTCCTAGTCCAATCCACATGGAGCCACTGGTGAGGATGGGAGCCAGGAGCCGAGGAAAGCGCCGCGCCATATCGATCTCCGGACCGTTCAGGGATGCATCATCCGTGAGCTTCAAGACCAACGCCTGAGACAGCTGGTAGCCTACACGGCTTTGTCCCCAGCCCAGGCGCGGGAGAACCCGGGCTTCCACCACAACCTGCCGAATAGGGTCCCACGTAAGTGTGAGCTCCTGAGGGAGGAAGTGCCGAGGCGAGGTGGGCCGCTTGATGCTTCACCAGCCGCGTGCACACCCGGGGTAAAGTCCGGAGCCTCCCTGCGCATGCGTTGCCGCCGGCCCCAGGGGGACTCCTCAGCCTCATGGGCCGGGCCTACAGGGGGCCGGGCCCGTGCCTCCGAGGGGGATCTGGGCCGTGCATGCTGGTTTGGAAGGTCACGGCTGGACCTAGCCTCCTCTGACCGCTTCCCAGGTGGAGGGGAACGTGTTGAATCGCGCAGAACCGAACGCAAATCCACACCGGACCCTGCTGCCTGAGGCCTCCTCCTTCGCGGAGGGGTGGGCGGTGTAGGGCTTCTGTCCACTGAGCGCAAGACCAGACGAGGGGAAGGAGAACGCCGACGGTCTCGCCGAGGAGCCGGCGGGGGGGGAGGCGGCCATGCCTTCGCCGCCGGTTGGGCCGAAGAGCTGGAACCATCAGGAGCCGCCTCCTCAGGGAGGGGTGCTTCTTCCGGCTGGTCGTCTCCCACTGGAAGGCCCTGGTCTATACGCTGTTGCCTTCGGATGTGGGGTGGGGGTCGTCGCTTGGAATGCTGGAGGGTAGCCGTAGAACGCCACGACTTCCCCTCTGCCATTCGTTGGCGCTGCTCACGCCAAAAAGGGCCACGACCCCTGCCCTTTGAGCCCCCCATCACTGCTTCTTGAAGCGAAGGGTCTGCTGACCCGAGGGAAGCTCTTTCTTCTTTTTGGCACGGCTGGCCGGCTTGGAAGCAGGCTCCTTGGCAGGCCCGGCGTCGCGTGCACTTGCGCCAGGAAGGGAAACCGCTTCCTTTGTCTTGCCAGGCCCCACCTCAGACACGTGCAAAGCTGCAGCCTTAGGAAGGGAAGCCACTTCCTTTAGAGCTGAAGAAGAACCTGAAGAGTCCGGCCGCCCAGGTGGCGTGGAAACCGAGGCCTGGGCATGAAAGGACAGGGTTTGGTTATTGTGGAGTTTTTTGCAGGGTTTCTGGAGACCTAAACAAGGCTGAGAATGGCCTGGAAGGAGGGTAAGATGGCACCCGGAGCACAGCCATCTACGACCTTCGTTTTTGAGCCGGTGCGTCGGGTGGAGGGGAGGCCAGAACTGGGGACCGTTATGGGGCATGTCAATGCACGGCTGCGCAAGCAAACGTTCTAGCCTATCCATCTCATGAACCTGCTGGAGGTAAAGCTTACACTTCGCACAAGTGATAGCAAGGTTATTAGTTTTCAACCCCCCTACTTGCCAGACATGACCACCTACTGCTTCCGGGACATCCACTTTTGCCAGCAAAAGCTGGCGCTTATTGGGCCCTTTGGGTGGTTGGGGTTCCTCTCTTTGGCTTCGGGGGACAAAATCATCTTTTGAGGCGTGTTTTAAAACGACCACAGCTCGCGACGCCAGGTAATCGCAGATCCTGGTTACGAGCCTATCCAGGTCCTGGACTTTACGCCCTGCTACAGGCGATATGGTGGCAGCTCGTTTGCCTGCCAACTCATCAGCACATTGGTTGGCCTGGTGTCTCCAAAGCTGGGAAAAGCCAAACCGCATTTCGAACTCACGGCTAGTTAGGTGGGATTTTACCCAAGTGGGACTTATCCTACCGCGGTCCTCCCAGACCGGGCCCCAAAAAGCCGGGGTCGTTTTTTGAAAAGATTGTTTGGAAAGGGTCCTTAGGGCTGGTTTGCAGTCCCCCGTGAGGTCAACCTGACCAAGGGTGTGTTTGATCGTCTGCACAATGGCAAAAGATTCACCATGCGCGACGCTTGTTCCGGGGGGGGTGAGGCCGGACATGGTTCCTAACTCCTGAAACTGACCATTTTGAACCCGCCCCACGACTACAGACCAGCTCACCCTTCGCAATCTCGGATCCTTGGTGAACATGCCCCCTGACGCGTCCGTGGCAACCACCAGCCCGTCTGCTACTACCTGGGAGGACGTAAGAAACACGCCTGTCTTGACCACTTCTAGGTCCCCCGAGGGAGCGACTGGGAGGTATTTGAGGGGAAGCATACCCCGAAGCCACAGGCAGTCCTCAGGGAAACGGCGCTTCTCCGCCAGAACGTACCCCGGTAACCGCATGCCACCAGGGAAGGAAGGGCACTCATACATGAGGTGGCGCAAGGTGGTTCCGGAATCACCACAAAACTTACATACATCCTTGCCACCGTTGCCGTTATGGAGAATGGACCCTTGGAAAACCGCCCGATAAGCGTATCGGGTAGTTTTTGCGCGCACTGACTTGAGCAGGCGACGCGGGACCGTCCAATCAACCCCGCCACCAGCACCCGCTGCCGACGAGGCCGATCCCATGCGACGAGACCTCTGGGTCTTGATGATGTCCGTGAGGAAGGACGAGGTTTGACAGACAACCGAAACCTCAGAAGGCTTGATCTCAAGAGCACGTTCCTCAAAAACCCAGCGGGAAGGATCGTGGCCGTCGACCTGGAGGTCGCGGAGGTATTGACACATGGCTGATATGGGTCCAGTGACCACGGACCAGCCGTGCTTCGCAGCCTCCAGCCGCTTCCAGACCACTCGCCAAGTGTCCTTTACTGCCTCCCAGCCCATGCGGTTACATCTGGCCATCATCCTGAAAAGACTTTCCACATGCTGGGTCACCACAATAAGGTAAGGATCCTGAACCTCATGGGCTGTCATGTCTAGGATGGTGTCCGTTGAACCGTATCGGCTCCTGCCTGCGTGTCGGGCCACCGCTGCGCGCATAGTTTTCATATGTTTAGGGGCGACCCCCTGTGCTTCATGGCCATAAAGACCCGAAGTGACTACACTAGAACGATGCAACCGCAGCCGGACACGGCGTGACGGAATGCGAAGCTTACCCAACTTCAGGTTACGGAGGCCACCTACCCGGAAGCGTTTCTGGGCAGTAGTAGTCCTGCGCCGGCGTCCACTGCCACTGTCAAGGCCTAAATCCTTGACCACGTCGACTATGTCAGGGTCCCCTGGCCGCAACAGCTTTCGCAGCGCCGCGGCCGAGCGGGGTGTTCCGGCCACAAATTTTGTTTTTTCTTGGCTGAGGACGAGACCTTCAGCCTGAAGACTGGACTTGAGCACTCGAAAGGCTTCATAAGCCGCTCCCGCGGCTATATCCGGCGAGGCGTGGAGGGAATCTGCAGAAACATCGTCCAACCATACATCGCAATGATCCAAGCCTGTGACTCGTTTCAGTCTATGTAAGGGTTCAGACATGGTAAGCTTGGCCTAGGTGGGAGCGTACGGGCATCCCTGGATCATGCCCCTGCCTGGGAAGATGGTTGGACTAGGCTGGGATTCCCCCACCACCGTGCGACCACCTTGGTAGAGGCGAAGGGAGAGGCACAGGGCCAAGGCTGGGAAAGACAACCGCAAGCCTTGTTCGCAAAGCCTCCGCCAAGAAACACTGTCGTAAAACCCATTAATGTCTACGAACAACGAGACAGTGTGCAAGCCCTTGACTCTGGCAGACTCGTTGGAGCATTGCCTGGCCAGGGCAACGTCTAACGAGGTACGGCCTGGAATCGCCGAGTCAAAAGGGTGATCAGGAATGTAAGAGTCCAGCCACTGGCCGACCAAGAACCGTCGAGACTTACACCAAAGCCGCCATAGGACTGATGTAAGACCGATAGGTCTTTCCTTCAAGGCACTCTTGGCCAGAAGAACAATCTGGACCTGGGACACTTGGAGGGGAATGAACAAAGGCGTCGGCTAGGACTGCATACGCGTCCCGAGGCAAGTCTCGAAGATCGTTGAAATCCCAGCCGTCCGGGCCTCCTTTTTTGGGATTTTTGGCGGCGCAAATCTTGGCGACGGAGCTAGCAGAATGCTTGGGCAGTGAACGGACCTGCTCACGGGCTAAGTCACACAAGGCATCCCATACTTCCCCCTGGAGAGGGGCTGGCGACACCAGGTTTCCCTGCCAGACCTCACACCAAAATTCTAGCCGTTTAGAGGGCCGCGCCAGGGGAGTGAACTCCCGATACGGCCGTTCCAAGGTTTGCTCGTCAGCCCGAAGGGAGCGGTAAAGGGGGCGGAGGTGATCATTTTGCGCCTCTTCCAGCCACTTGGAGTAAGACTCGGAGTTCTGGGAGGTCTGGGAGGCCAAAGCTTCTTTATATTTTGTCTCGACCTGGGGCACCAACTCCCGAGTGAGGCTGCTGCGGTCATCAGCATGAACCCAGTCCTTTAGGACGGGAAGAAGGGGGTCGTCCGGAGGGATGGAGGCAAAGGCCTCGGAGGATTTAGGGACCATCCCTGTCTGAAGCCAGGTGCGCCATCTATCCCAGATAGCCATAGGCCCTCCTGTCCAGGCACCTCCTCCAACTGGGTGCGAGGCCAACGGCCTGCGGGGAAGGTCGACCCACCAGCCCTTTCCTGTGGTGGCCTGGGCCTCCGACTGGAGGTCGCGGGACCATTGGCCCAAGGCAATAGAGGACTCCTCCTGGGACGCCACATCCAAAATCTGGACCAGCTGGACTGGGGAGCTTGCGTGGAAGGAGGAGGGAGCCGGGGACACCACCGACCTGATGGTGGGGACTCTCAACTGAAGGGAGTGCACTGGCACGTCCAAGGTTAGAAGTCCGTGAGGCTTGAAAGGAGTGTCAAATGACAGCCGGACCGTCGACAGGGAGTGAAGACTGGGATGGACGACGAAGAAGTCAATCTCGGAGTCCCCTCCCGCCGTGGGGGACCCACTGCCCACCACACGGCCCTGCCACCTTTCTTCATACCTGGAGTTAAGGAAGTCCTGGATCAGAACGTTAAAGTCCCCACCAACCACCCACATGCCTTGAAGGAGGGACAAATGTTGGGTAAGGCTGGACAGGATAAGATCATTGACTGGGCTATCCAAGCCCGTCCCACTTTCCAGGTACAAGGAGATCCAATTGAAATCTACCCCTTTGGAACGCAAAGCCACAATAACATAGCCACAGCCCTGCGAGGCGTGGAAAGTCACTATGATCCTGGGTCCCAAGTGATTTTTGACTGCAATCCCTACACCTCCTAGGGGGTTACCCTTGGCACTTTTCGGGCTAGCAACACCAAAGAGCACAAACCCTAGATTCATCAAATGACGAGTCTCACTCTTAAGGTCCTCTTTGGTAAGGTGAAGTTCTTGCAGCATAAGAATGTCCGGGGACAAGGTGTGGGCCCATTTCCGGTGACTCGACCGCCATCGGGTGACATTGGCCGAACAGACCTTGAGATTCCTAGGTTTAGCTTCGTAAGAGTTTGCCGAAAGATCCTCCGAGCCTCGAAGGACAAAAACCCAGTCACTTGGGCTTGGGCTGGGGGAAGCAAGGGCCTGAAACATTTTGTGGACCACCAAATACTCCAAAGTCAAGGGGTCGGTGGGTTCGTCATCTTCGAAAAGGCCTACCATATTAGACTCCACAGAAGGAAAGCCCTGCTGAAAACCCCTGGACACCAAACCCGCTAACTGGCCCCACTTGTCCATCTTTTCATGCGGGGTCGTAGTGTTCCAGGCTACGATAGCTGAATCCAAAGGCTCCCTAGCCTTGAGAGGCCGGGCCGTCCTGTTGCGACGTCGTCGGGTTCTTCTGCTGCGACAAGACGACTGGGTACCTGTGGGTCGAGATCCACCTCCTAAGACGAGGGGAGTAGAAGTACTGGGGGTTTCATACAACTGCATGTCGCACAAAGCCTCCAGAGGAAAATACCTCGGCCCCGTCACCAAAGGATGGTGGACCACCTCATATTGGCATAGCGCTGCTAAAGAAATTGGAACTGGTGAGGGATCTTTTGCTGGTACACATTCCGCTCCAAGCGAAACCTGCCCCAATCCTGAATCCCACTCCTTCTGGAGGGGCTGACCCTGACACATGCCACACAGAACCGCATGTCTTGATGACCGGGTGTATGTTGGAAGCTCCACCAGGCAACTCTGACACGCAGGCACCACGGCACATTCATGGGAGGCCCATCCTCGGCACAGCCGACACAAAACTGCAAGCGCGAGACCATCCCCAACCTGGAAAAGGGTGTGACAGACAGGAACTTTCTTCAGCAAGCGCGAGAGCGTTACCCAGTGGGTGTCCTTCATGCAAACGAATTCGCCCGGAGCCCCTTTGGGGCGAGACATAGTCTCTCGGGCAGTCGGTCACCCTGCTACGGCAAAACCACAGCTCAAAAGCCGGGAAGTGGTGCACCCACAGGCCATCTACAGGGAACTATGTTACATCTACTGCCACAGCTACTCAGCAGGAAGGAGTTGCGACCTCAGCCCAAAGGCTGGGAAACTGGATGCCCCCAGTGAAGCAGCTCTGTTTCCACAGCCTCCTAGGCCGGGGTGGTGCACAGCCAGCGAACTTCTTCCCCCAAGGGTCCCAGGGTGTTGCATATCTGGTCAAAACACGCCTGGGGTGGACCCCTGGAAACTTGCCGAAAGTAGCCCGCATCATGGGGGCAGTACTTGGCAACTACCCTCCAAAAGCCAGTCCATTCCGGCCTCCCATGGGAGGGGCCCCAGTTGTTGGCATCGATGAAGGCCGGAAGGGGAACCATCCTCGTGCCCTGCGAGCCAGGTTGGAAATGCCAACATCCTTGGCATCTACCCCACAGACATACAAGTGCAACAAGGTGGCCAACGTGGCCAGAAGGTAGGAGTGCACACGGAGACCATTGGCAGCATTTTCCTGGAGCCACTCACGGGCCTGGCAACGGTGCTCTTGCACGTGGTACAGGAACCGATGCAGGCCCGCACCTGGCACACCTTCGGGTCCTAGCCCAATCCACATGGAGCCACTGGTGAGGATGGGAGCCATGAGCCGGGGAAAGCGCCGCGCCATCTCGATCTCCGGACCGTTCAGGGATGCATCATCCGTGAGCTTCAAGACTAACGCCTGAGACACCTGGTAGCCTACACGGCTTTGTCCCCAGCCCAGGCGCGGGAGAACTCGGGCTTCCACCACAACCTGCCGAATCGGGTCCCACGTAAGTGTGAGCTCCGGAGGGAGGAAGTGCCGAGGCGAGGTGGGCCGCTTGATGTAACTTGCTGCTTCACCAGCCGCGTGCACACCCGGGGTAAAGTCCTGCGCCTCCCTGCGCATGCGTTGCCGCCGGCCCCAGGGGGACTCCTCAGCCTCATGGGCTGGGTCTGCAGGGGGCCGGGCCCGTGCCTCCGAGGGGGATCTGGGCCGTGCATGCTGGTTGGGAAGGTCACGGCTGGACCTAGCCTCCTCTGACCGCCTCCCAGGTGGAGGGGAACGTGTTGAATCGCGCGGAACCGAACGCAAATCCACACCGGACCCTGCTGCCTGAGGCCTCCTCCTTTGCGGAGGGGTGGGCGGTGTAGGGCTTCTGTCCACTGAGCGCAAGACCTGCAGGCGAGGGGAAGGAGAGCGCCGACGGTCGCGCCGAGGAGCCGGCGGGGGGGGAGGCGGCCATGCCTTCGCCGCCGGTTGAGCCGAAGAGCTGGAACCACCAGGAGCCGCCTCCTCAGGGAGGGGTGCCTCTTCCGGCTGGTCGTCTCCCACAGGAAGGCCCTGGTCTATACGCTGCTGCCTTCGGATGTGGGGTGGGGGTCGTCGCTTGGAATGCTGGAGGGTTGCCGTGGAACGCCACGACTTCCCCTCTGCCATTCGTTGGCGCTGCTCGCGCCAAAAGGGGCCACGACCCCTGCCCTTTGAGCCCCCCATCACTGCTTCTTGAAGCGAAGGGTCTGCTGACCTGAGGGAAGCTCTTTCTTCTTTTTGGCACGGCTGGCCGGCTTTGGGGCAGGCTCCCTGGCAGGCCCGGCGGCGCGTGCACTGGTGCCAGGAAGGGAAACCACTTCCTTTGTCTTGCCAGGCCCCACCTCAGACACGTGCAAAGCTGCAGCCTTAGGAAGGGAAGCCACTTCCTTTAGAGCTGAAGAAGACCCTGGAGAGTCCGGCCGCCCAGGAGGCGTGGAAACCGAGGCCTGGGCATGAAAGGACAGGGTTTGGTTATTGTGGAGTTTTTTGCAGGGTTTCTGGAGACCTAAACAAGGCTGAGAATGGCCTGGAAGGAGGGTAAGATGGCACCCGGAGCACAGCCATCTACGTCCCTCATTTTTGAGCCGGTGCGTCGGGTGGAGGGTAGGCCAGAACTGGGGACCGTTATGGGGCATGTCAATGCACGGCTGCGCAAGCAAACGTTCTAGCCTATCCATCTCATGAACCTGCTGGAGGTAAAGCTTACACTTCGCACAAGTGATTGCAAGATTATTAGTTTTCAACCCCTACTTGCCAGACATGACCACCTACTGCTTCCGGGACATCCACTTTTGCCAGCAAAAGCTGGCGCTTATTAGGCCCTTTGGGTGGTTGGGGTTCCTCTCTTTGGCTTCGGGGAACAAAATCATCTTTTGAGGCGTGTTTCAAAACAACCACAGCTCGCGACGCCAGGTAGTCACAGATCCTGGTTACAAGCCTATCCAGGTCCTGGACTTTCCGCCCCGCTACAGGCGAGATGGTGGCAGCTCGTTTGCCTGCCAGCTCGTCCGCACATTGGTTGGCCTGGTGTCTCCAAAGCTGGGAAAAGCCAAACCGCATTTCGAACTCACGGCTAGTTAGGTGGGATTTTACCCAAGTGGGCCTTATCCTACCGCGGTCCTCCCAGACCGGGCCCCAAAAAGCCGGGGTCGTTTTTTGAAAGGATTTTTTGGAAAGGGTCCTTAGGGCTGGTTTACAGTCCCCCGTGAGGTCAACCTGACCAAGGGTGTGTTTGATCGTCTGCACAATGGCAAAAGATTCACCGTGCGCGACGCTTGTTCCGGGGGGGGTGAGGCCGGACATGGTTCCTAACTCCTGAAACTGACCATTTTGAACCCGCCCCACGACTACAGACCAGCTCACCCTTCGCAATCTCGGATCCTTGGTGAACATGCCCCCTGACGCGTCCGTAGCAACCACCAGCCCGTCTGCTACTACCTGGGAGGACGTATGAAACACGCCTGTCTTGACCACTTCTAGGTCCCCCGAGGGAGCGACTGGGAGGTATTTAAGGGGAAGCATACCCCGAAGCCACAGGCAGTCCTCAGGGAAACGGCGCTTCTCCGCCAGAACATACCCTGGTAACCGCATGCCACCGGGGAAGGAAGGGCACTCATACATGAGGTGGCGCAGGGTGGTTCCGGAATCACCACAAAACTTACAGACATCCTTGCCACCGTTGCCGTTATGGAGAATGGACCCTTGGAAAACCGCCCGGTAAGCGTACCGGGTAGTTTTAGTGCGCACTGACTTGAGCAGGCGACGCGGGACGGTCCAGTCGACCCCGCCACCAGCACCCGCTGCCGACGAGGCCGATCCCATGCGACGAGACCTCTGGGTCTTGATGATGTCCGTGAGGAAGGACGAGGTTTGTCCCAAGTGATTTTTGACTGCAATCCCTACACCTCCTAGGGGGTTACCCTTGGCACTTTTCGGGCTAGCAACACCAAAGAGCACATACCCTAGATTCATCAAATGACGAGTCTCAATCTTAAGGTCCTCTTTGGTAAGGTGAAGTTCTTGCAGCATAAGAATGTCCGGGGACAAGGTGTGGGCCCATTTCCGGTGACTCGACCGCCATCGGGTGACGTTGGCCGAACAGACCTTGAGATTCCTAGGTTTAGCTTCGTAAGAGTTTGCCGAAAGATCCTCCGAGCCTCGAAGGACAAAAACCCAGTCACTTGGGCTTGGGCTGGGGGAAGCAAGGGCCTGAAACATTTTGTGGACCACCAAATACTCCAAGGTCAAGGGGTCGGTGGGTTCGTCATCTTCGAAAAGGCCTACCATGTTAGACTCCACAGAAGGAAAGCCCTGCTGAAAACCCCTGGACACCAAACCCGCTAACTGGCCCCACTTGTCCATCTTTTCATGCGGGGTCATAGTGTCCCAGGCTACGATAGCTGAATCCAAAGGCTCCCTAGCCTTGAGAGGCCGGGCCGTCCGGTTGCGACGTCGTCGGGTTCTTCTGCTGCGACAAGACGACTGGGTACCTGTGGGTCGAGATCCACCTCCTAAGACGAGGGGAGTAGAAGTACTGGGGGTTTCATACAACTGCATGTCGCACAAAGCCTCCAGAGGAAAATACCTCGGCCCCGTCACCAAAGGATGGTGGACCACCTCATATTGGCATAGCGCTGCTAAAGAAATTGGAACTGGTGAGGGATCTTTTGCTGGTACACATTCCGCTCCAAGCGAAACCTGCCCCAATCCTGAATCCCACTCCTTCTGGAATGGCTGACCCTGACACATGCCACACAGAACCGCATGTCTTGATGACCGGGTGTATGTTGGAAGCTCCACCAGGCAACCCTGACACGCAGGCACCACGGCACATTCATGGGAGGCCCATCCTCGGCACAGCCGACACAAAACTGCAAGCGCGAGACCATCCCCAACCTGGAAAAGGGTGTGACACGGGTCCTCCCCGGCCTGACACCTGCAGACCTCACAACAGCTAAGACTGAAGACATCTGCTTGGGAAGGGGATTGGCAAAACGTCTCGGGCAAGGTGACAAAATTTTGACCAAGGGGAAAGACACGGGTTGTCGGGGAGAGGGACGACGCGGACAAGTGCGGGGAGAACAGGTTATCCCTGGAATCCAAAACCCCCAGCGCCCTACAAGCCCCGAACCCAGCTCCCTAACCCGTCTGCGATGCCAGACCCGGGGCCTGGCCCCCCACTGCTCCCCCTGGCGGGGTTCGGCTTCGGCCTCGTGCTGCGAGGTCCGGCATCACCGAGGCCTGCGAGGGTGGCAGACCCGGGGGAAGGCCTGGATCGACCTGCATGCGTCTGCGCTTGGCTTCATCGGACTTAAGAGCTTCCAGCTTCCTCTTTTGCTCTTCGGTAAGGCTGGCCTCTTGCATGCCCAAAGCCTGCAGAACAGATTCCACTCCATTGTTGACCTCTTCCGCGCAATGCTTGACCACCTTGTCTTCATATTCCTTGGTGGTCTTCGCGACTTCCACCTTTGCCTCCTCGATGGCATTCTGGATGTCCTGCATCTTGTGAAGCATTGCTCGCAAGTTGTCCTTGGCTGTGTCGATCTCCTCCTGCAGTCTCAGTTTCCTCTGGCCCAGATCACGGAGCTTGCCAACCGAGCTGCGAAGAACATCCCCAGCCTCTTTTCCCTCCTGGCGAGGGTCCGGGGTTGGGGTAGCCGGCAGGGCGTCCACGATGACCTGGGGAAGGTCTCCGACATGCTGCTGCAGGAGAGCAACAAGGTCCACATCCTCAGTGCGAGCCGGCTTGGCTTCAAACCCAGCCTCTTTCAGCTGCACACAGGCCTCTTCAGGAAGAGTGTCCCATACCTTCCGCAAGCAGTCATGGACCTTGTTGGTCTTGGGCTTGCGAGGTCGGGGCTTCGGCTCCGGCTTGGACCAGATCTTGGGGGTGGGCACATCCGTTGGCCACTTAGTTCCGCACCACTGACACTTGGGGAACTTGGGCACCTTTGCCGCGAAGATCCAGCTGGCCGGGCCGCACTTCTTGCGAACGTGGTAACGTCCACCCGCCATGGTGACTGTGAAGAGGCCCCGAGCCCTAAAGGCTGGGCTCAGATGTTGGACTTGTTGAGGTCGGCACACCACCTCTGCCGGCGAGCCTCCGACAAAAGTTTCCCGGCGTCGGCAATCCAATCGTTCCGGGTCTTGGACCAGCGAGCCAAAGCACGGAGTTGGTTTGTTACCCTCTGCCCCGGTGTGAGGTCCCGGGCACTGGGCTGTTCCTCAAACTCGGCTTGCAGATAGGACCTGATCGAGTCCTCCAAGGGCACCCTCTCGGCTACCCCAAAGCGCTGCACCTCAGGGGTGCGGGATCGCTCTCTTCCCGCCGTGGGTTTGGAGGACCGCAGCCCTAAGGCCGGGAGAAAACAGGCCCGAGCCCAGAGGCTGGGTGAGTGCAATGCAGCCGCAGCCCTGAGGCTGGGTGAGTGCTATGCAGCCACAGCCCAGAGGCCGGGTGGGTGCTCAGGCACAGTATGGCTCAAGCGAATAGGCCGAAAACAAAGGGGGCCTGGTACCTTAACCCAGTTGAGGCCCAGAACCCAGGTTCACAGCTACTCGCTCAGCTACTTCGCCTACCCCACCGGGGTTTGAGCAGAAACTTGAGCCAACAGGAACTTTCGTCTGCACGCTGCGAGGCGTAGCCACCCGAAGGGGCTGTGGGTTCAAGTGAAACAAAAGCTTACTAAAACTGTGGGGTGAAACTGCCGGTAAGTTCCCCCTCTCATTCCTTGTCCTCGGTGTTGACGTACCGCTACCCTCAACCGAAGTGAGGCCGGAATGTCGTTTTGACCAAGTCGTTGCCAGTGGCTCGAAGACTTTGGCCAAGGCAAATTGCCTGTATGCTTGCACATTCTCTGTGTTGTCTATTCGGGAGGTGATCCATGCCCTCGTTCGTGGAGGCCGCTATCCCTCAACCGAATGGAGGTCAATTCCTGTAGACCCAGATGCTCATTCTACGAGTCTCATTGCATGTCCTCAGTGCTTCCATCCACACCCCTCAACCGTAGTGAGGCCGGACATGTCTTCAAACCAGGTCATGGCCCAAGGCTTCATGGACTCTGGTTTCGGTGGCTGCCTCTTGCATGCACAGGGCATACTTCCTGTGGCTTTTGCCGGGAGGTGATCCATGCCCTCCGATTCTCAGAGGCCGCTATCCCTCTACCAGCGGGGTGGTCAATCCCCATAGACCGTTCCGATTGAGGCCCAATTCTGCACTTTCTCGTCATCTCACCTTGACGGATCCATGCCCTCGATTCACACATCTCCAACACGAGCCAAGCAGGAGGACCAGGTGAAGTACCTGCCCAAACATACCCCTTTTTAGGCTGGAGGACGCTAAGCGACCGAAATCGCCGCTACGCACCGGTGACCCCACGCCACACACCTTCAACAGGTGGCCGGTACAGGCGCCTGACAGGGGGCCGGGCAAGGTGCCGACTACCAGGTCAAACCCACCCTCCTCTGAGGGTATTATGTACGAGGCCGCTATCCATTGTGAGACCTGACTTTCTCCAATCCAGCCGTAGCCATTCAGCTGGTTCTTTGGTTTGCCACCAAGACTCCTTATGCCAAAGATGAAGTCCATGTTCGAATATATGTTGCCGAAACATATTAAAGCAAATTGTTGAAAACAGCAATCTAGATTCAACAGCACGCGGACAGCAATCCCTTGTTT